AAGAAAAAATATATCTTAGGTACTACATACATGAGATATATTTTTTTGGCCACTGAGGTTATTATAAATTTTTTTTACATCAAAACTTTGTGAAAAATAAAATAAAACTTTTTTTAAATTTAAGTGCCATAGTTATACTATTTACTGCTTTTCTATTAGCACCATCGAGTATATAACCAGAAATAGAGACGAAATGTCATTTAATTTGTTTGAAAACTATTCTGCCATATCATTACTGTGACAACTGCACTCCGATTGGCCAGCCCGAATTCGAAACAATTGACGGGTGTCTTCAATAGGTGTCGTCAACTTTTTCACTTCAAATTGACCAGTTAACTTGAGCTTTGCTATAATGGACGATATTTGCAAAATTATACATTTAATTTTGTTTTGTAATTAGATGTTTTGCTGTTTTTCCCACACCACCAAATAGAACAGTATGGCATTGTTAGAGATATTATCTTTATTACAATAAATACAGAATATTTTTTGGAATATATGGAGACGTACACACGGGTCAGTAGTTGGCCTGTCTATATTTCAGTGCAAACGCGAGTTGATATTTATAAGAACTGTATTGCTAATGTGTTACCAGGAATATATGGTCCTTATTTCGTCTCTGTTTCTGGTTATATACTCAATGATTAACACAGTTAATGTAGAATATTATGACACCAAAAAACCGATTGATCAACTGTAGTTGTGGTGTACAAAAACGTAAAATAAGATGAAAATAATTAAATTTAAATAAAAAAAAATATCTTAGGTACTACATGGGATATATTTTTCGTTATATTTTTTTGAACATTCATAAGCTCTACTATAAGGCATTTCAGGCTTATCCAACTTCAACTTCAACTTTTGTGTCTATGGCTCCATCGTTTTGCGCGACGATTTTGCCAATGTCAGGGTTGAAAGACATGTGTAGCGGTGGTGAGATAGTTTGCCGGTTGTTAAAATACTTCGGCGGTTTTTATTCACAATGACGGTTATATATATATTTTAGTGACATTACAAAAATATAATTTGAGAGCTCATGTTATTCTCTTTCTTTTACAAACATTGTAGGAAGTTTTATTTAGCTGGAAATAAAAAATAAAATCGTTTAGTATTCTTTACCGGACACCCTGTATATATTACTCACATGCTCAGCTGCAAATACTAAATCACAGAGTGCCAGTGTTGTAGCAGCGATTCCAATTGCAGGTCCATTCACAACAGCCACCAATATCTTTGGAAAAGTAATTAACGCGTCAATGTATTTCTTCAGAATTTTGAGGCTGGTCCCTGTAGGCGACTGCGCCGCCGCTACAAGGTCATTTCCACTACTGTAGTAATCCCCGGTTCCAGTTAGTACCATAACGTCGATATCAGGGTTGTCCGCCGCTTCCTGCAGTATCATCGTCATTCTAGTGCACATATCTTTATCTATAGCATTTTTCCTCTTCGGTTTGTTGTATTGTACTATTTTAATATTTCCTTGAACATTTTCCACTATAGTATCCATTCTGATAGTTAATTGTTTTAATTAATACTATGTCCCTTATTTTCTAAACCTGTGTTACTGGTATACAGGTCAAGGTACCTGAGCCTTATTTCCTGAAATAAAGTGTAAAGCCAAACAATGAAATGAGATTTTATCGGTGGCCGGTGGCGGAGCGTGGCCTGTGACGGTTCCTACAACTTACGTTTTTAGTTTTTATCGCAACCGTGTGAACATAATGTTATAAATATTAAAATACTCACTGTCACAAATTAGAAAGATTCACTGTTACTGTACGTATGATGCATACATAGATCATACAATATATTTGAGAGTATGAATATGATGTATGATATAGATGTTTTATGTAATAAGTGTATAAAATTTGAATGTTGTGGCTGATAAGCCACAAACTTGTTATCAGCTGATTGTCAAATAGATTTTTTTTTTTTTGTCACGGCTCATGGACTGATTATTGCGATGACAATCTGTTCTGTAAGTTCGTTCTGAAAATCTCTCTCTCTCCCTATAATGCCCAACAATTGTAAACAGCATTAATTTTACCAATTAGGACAATGCTTTCAACACAGAATAATTTCTTAAATTCTGCATAGTCGTGGATTGTGGATGTGGTTCTTGTTTTGCGTGTATTGTAACCAATTTCACGCAATAAAACGGGAACTGAACCCTTGAATATCATTTCAATGTCAAACTTGACGTTTTTGTGCATGGTATCGTTAGTAATAATTTCTATTCGAAATACTGAAATTACTATTCGAATTCTTTCTAAACAGCATTAACAGTGTACTTAGAAATAATTGGACATACCCCAAAAAGAGGGCTTGTGCTAGCTGTGTAACAATTTCAGTCTCTTTGGTTTTGTAATCGAATTTTTGAAAAATAATAGAAATTGTAATGGTGCAATCATTACTGAAATTGATTAGGACTAACCTTCCCCTTGTTACAAATTTTATTTTTTGCAGCAGTACAAAAGGGTTACAACCACGGAAAAGTGTTAGTTTTAGTACATCTTCAATAATGTTTAAATCTGCAGTTTTTAACCTTGAACATGCGACGGGAGATCAAGTCCAGAAGTTTTTAGATTCTTTCGACACAGTTTTGACTGATTGTGATGGTAAGAAATGGATTGTGTAAAGAGCCTTAGAATTGGTCATTTAAAATTTGATCAACAACAAAGTGCTTAATGTATTTATTTATTTCACAGGTGTTCTGTGGATTGATAACAATGCCATTCCTGGGTCAGCGGACACTATGAATATGCTGCGTGAGAAGGGGAAGAGAATATTTTATGTGACCAACAATTCTACAAAAATACGCAGCGAATTTGCTTCTAAAGCTCAAGAACTGGGTTTTATTGCAAATTCGGTAAATGTTTCTTATTCAAAAACTTCTTGGTTGATATATAACATAAAATAATTATTACATAGGGTACATTTTTTTTATTCGTAGTTCTTATAAATCATGAATAAAAAAGACAGTATTTATGTTAAAAATCATTTTCAAAAAAATTAATAAACATTTTGTATTTTTCTTACCAAAAAACATATAGAGTAAAAATTATTTAACTTGAACATGTATTATATGTAATATAAGAATATTTTAACTTATTTCAGGATGAAATTCTGTCAACAGCATATCTAGTAGCCCATTACCTAAAGGGCATTGGTTTTACAAAGAAAGTTTACCTTATAGGGTCTAATGGCATAGCTGGCGAATTAACAGCAGTGGGAATAAGGCACCTTGGAGTTGGAGTAAGCTCTTAGTTGCTTAATAGATTATTTCATTTAAATTTGTTGAATTTTTTACTATGCAGTTGTAGGATGCCTTATTATATATATTATATATTATTAATATGACAAATATTTATTGTATTTAAGTAATAAACAAAATTAGATATCTGATCACTTACCAATTTTTTAAAAAGCACTAACTTAAACATAGAATGTCTTTAAAAAACTGCCTATGTGGCCGACCGGTTACCACACCGAGGTCCCAGGTTCAATTCCCGGGCCGGGAGAAATATTTGTATGGCCTACATTTATTTATCTCGAGAGTTTGGGTGTAACTTATGGTTATCTATGTGTGTGTCCATGGCACCCGTGACGCAGGATTTCCCTAGTGCGGGGCTATGTTGAGTGTGCATTATTATTATTAAAAAAGGTCAGGGTGAAGTGCCGAGAATATATTTTTTTATAATATTAAGTGATGGGATAAAAAAGTCGTGTGCCTGATGGTACACAACACACCTATCCATAACAGGTGCAGTGCCACTCAGAGCTTTAAATTGCAAAGATCTGAGGGGCACTGCCACTGCGCTCATCATCCTGAGGCATCAGTTGACAAGTCTCATGTGCCTGTCATTTTACCAGCACTCTTACCCTTCAAAACCAGAATACAGTAATGCTGACATTACTGCTTGGCAGAAGAAATAGGTAAGGTGGCAGTACTACCCTGGATGAACTCTTTCACAATTAGCTCTACTGCTACTAAACTAAATGAAATTTGCCAGGAGAGTAATAAGTAAAGGTCATGGTGTCTGTCAACTTCAGTGGGACACAGGCATTATGATATGTATGCATATGATATAAAATAATATTTTTAATAATTTTCAGCCTGATGTTGTTCAACCCGACTTTAAATCATTGAAATCAACAGATCTTGATCCAGAAGTAGGTGCTGTTGTAGTAGGTTTCGATGAACATATTAGTTACCCAAAGTTCATGAAGGCTGCATCATATCTGTCTTCAGATGAGTGCCTCTTTGTGGCCACAAATACGGACGAGAGGTTTCCAAGAGCTGGGTCAATAGTTGTACCTGGTACAGGGACTTTGGTAAGGGCAGTTGAGACATGTTCTGAAAGGAAAGCCTTGGTGCTTGGCAAACCACATGCTTACGTTAGGAAATACCTTGAATCTTGTGGCCTGGATCCAGCTAGGACTTTAATGATTGGTGACAGGTGTGTGTAATTCTCTTACATCATTATATAAAATTAATATTTATTATTATAAATATAATTTGACACCTAAAAATTATTGAATTTGCACTGACTAAATAACATATTATACTACATGAATGTATTAAATGAGTAGAGGAACAAATCTGCAAATCACAATCTTGTGCAATGGGCTGGTGTCCGTAACTCGAAGACAAAGCACCTATTTTGCGTGTGGAGTGTGCCTATTTGTTTGTCTGTAAATCATAATGTTTTATTGTTTTAGATGCAACACAGATATTGAACTAGGCGTACGTTGTGGCTTTCAAACACTTCTAGTGTTATCAGGGGTCACTTCCGAAAGAGAAGTAGAAAATATTCGCAGCGAGAAGAAGCACCCACTGCCCGATGTAGTGTTACCCACATTAGGAGATTTGCTCTCTCTTATCCAGTCATAGTAAAGTGTAGTAGGTAAAAATTACACAATTAATAGGTCAATTTGACAGCAATGCAGTTGTGATAAGTATAACATATAAGTATTTAATTTGATTTAACAGATTGTGATTTATTTTTCTGCTTTTGCACTCAAGAAAAGTATGCCTATGATTGAATTTATGTTTATTAAGTATTTTGTACACCACCTTAATGTGTTGAGATTCAACAGTAAATAAGTAGTGGAATTTCTATTGACAGATTTTTATGTAAATGATATCTTATAGTCTTGTGAATTTTGTAGTATTACTTATTAGTAGTAACCATCATTGTACTGAATACCTATTATTTTACAACATATGAAAATTAATAGAAAATAATTTTCTACTATTATTAATTTAATATAGAACTAATGTTTTAGTCACAGAATTTCCAATTATTATTTGCCAATTGTCAAGTGTCTTATAGAAAGTTTTATAAATTATTCAGTTCACTTCAAAATACTTTTAAATAGTATTCAACTTGATCTTTAATCAGTCACTTCTAAATACATAATTGTATTGCGAGTAATGAAAGAGACTCAATCTTTTAAGGTCTATTAAAAAGACTGTACTTCATTTACAGGACTCAATCCTAAAATTAAGTCTGGAGGTTCAAGTTATTATTAATAAGTCTCACTTAATAGACTCGACGACTTCAGTTGTTTTTAAATAGACTCGCGTCTTATTCGTGCATGCTATTCAAAAATAGCTCAAGCTCTTAGGCTAACGTGCTATGATCTTTTGGAATCTAAAGTTTATAGATAAAAATGAAGTAGTATGTTGTAATCATGTTTGTTTGTAATAAAAACTATTATTTATTCATCTTTTTAGTGTATGTACAGTCAAGAGCACATCAAGCTTGACACTTTGTTCTTTGGACCGTTCTATCATAAGCAGCGTAGAGTTGGACTTAAATGTTAAGTGTCAAGCTTGACGTGCTCTTGACCCTGCTGTATAACATACATTTAATTTGTATTTGGTTGTAGGTATATTTGATTGACTGTAACAAAGGACATGTCGTAGGTCGTAACCCGGGAAAGTTTGTTTACATGTCTTATTGAAAATAGATATACTTGATCAGCGGTTCTAGTCAATTCCAATTCATTTACCTTTATTTAGCCCCAACAAAAACTACCTCAGATTGAAAATATTTCCGCTATATAATGTGAGGAGTCTGCACATTATATAGTGGAAATATTTGCCGACCCTACCTAGCGCGGGATAAGGACAGGAAGAAGATGATGTGTGAGTGGACAAAGGTAGATGTTATGATTATTCTGCTGATTAATGTAATAAAAATATTTTAATGTCTTATATGTAAATTAAAGGTCTGACTATAAGGCTTAGGTTTCTAGGTTAGGTCAATAATGTAAATAATGACTTAGGCTTTTACTTCTGACTCTATTCAAATTAGTCTTCAGGGTGTGTCGTAGGACTCGACTTAATTAGTATTTTAACGCTAGTTAAAAGACTAATCTAGCGTGAGACGTTACAAACTATAATTTTATACTAGGTCTTAAAAGACTGAGTCTGTTTCGTCATTATGTATGACTGTATACTTATGTTATTATTTTATACCTCAAATTATTTTTGGATGCAAATTTGAGAATTTTGTCTTTTTGATACTATCGTAATTTAATATATTTTTTATAATTTTTATCTTGATTGTAATCTACGAAGGTCGCTTGTGTAACTCTTTAATGAATTCCTTATTGCATTCTAACGTTTTACCAGCATTGACAAAAATGGTTGTAATATTGCTTTTAGTACGATGTGCTTAAACTTGCATAAACACGCATCCTTGAAATCGTTAAAAAACGGTCACACCTTAAATATTTAAAGTTTGTAAATTCTTTTGCTATATACAATTTCTGTGTTCTGTTTTTTATTCTTTTCACTATAAATCTCTATGGTACTTTAAAACGTTAATCTATTTAGATATGATTTAGATACTTGGCAATACAGGTATTAAGTCTCTATCTAAGGTAACAAATTTCGAATCGAAATCCTTCAATTGCATTGAGGGCAGCAGTAAAACAACAGATGCCTACATTCATAATTAAGACTATAGTTTGAAACTGGAACGTTGCTGCACCGCTATTCAGGTTGCGAGAAGCTGTCTGGAATAGAAAGCAGGAAGATGGGGTGCGAAGTAACTGATGTTGGAGTCAGGGCGCATGCGCCGTTGTGCGTCGCGCTCAATCTCCCGCGTTTAACAGTAGAGTAATAAGTAGGCGCCCGGCGTATATTCGTTTCTCGCCAGTGTCAGTGCAGCCGCGAGATACGCGCACCGTGTTTGGCGCCCTTTGCCACTTTATGTGATCTCATTCAGAAACTCATATCCTGACAAATTGATGTGAGTTAAAATTTATTTTTATTGCATTTTTATGGTGCTTATTCAAGACACGCTTTACAGTTTTAGGATTGGTTGCCCAGTGTGCTTTGTTAAGGTAGGTTGATGGGTAAAGAAATTGAGAACTATTTCGGAAATGGCAAGAGAGATTTGGCAGATTGGATTTTTTGATTTGCTGTTCCTACTAGATGCATCGAGAGACTATCTCTACCTGCTTATACGATAAAATCCAAGGTAAAAAATTAAACGTCTACGCAGCAAATTGCGATTTCAGTAGCCGAAAACAAAGAATTGTTTGAGGGTGCCAAAAGGTGTTCTTAGCCCGCGGCGCACCCCTCTCTCCTTCCTTGCTGAAATGGAGCGCAGTTACTTTTGGTGATATTCGCTTTTTCTAAATTCTGACCAATGATTTAATGCGGCGCACCTACAGAGATAAAGACACGGTTTTATTAACACGACCAAAATTCGATTAAAATATTGATAAACATGTTAATGAATATATGTGAAGGTTTTTCGTCGTAGTGTTATTAGGAAAATTTTAATGTGATAAATGTTATCTACCTTGGAGTGTTAATCGTGGTGAAGTAGTTAGGTACTTGAATGCATTAATATGACATTGTCACGGTAGTTGCACTAACCTTCGATAGGAAACTATCGCGCCCAAAATAGTACAATATAATCTCTGATAACCGCGTAAACATTTAATCAGTGTGGTATAGAAAGTTGCCAGCGGGGAAATAGAGGGGTGCGTAGACTGGTTGGAAAGCAATTTTATTCTAAATTAACAGTGTTGGATGGCAATATTGTGATTATTTTGACGCTGTAAAGTATTTTGGGGCGAATAGATTCTATTTTGCTTACAGAAATGCATAGTTGTTTTTTTTTTACCGCAGTTTTCAATAGCAGATAATCATTCGCATTTTAGCGTAAATTTTAACAAACCGCGACTTCATTATGTAATTAGATTTGTATTATCAAACTAATATTACATACTACCCATGCAAATACCCAGTAAACAGTATAAACGTACTATTTAGGATTACGTCATAATATATTGGGTGTGAACAACGAGCTATCGAAGCAGAATGGTTTTATCAAACGCTAGGTGAAATGCTCATTTTCACTTTTATTTGACGCGTAATAATGTTATTTTGTTCCAGTTTCTGTTTATTTTCTTATAATCTAGACAAATTCGTGCATTGTATAATATTGAACTTTTAATAAATAAACACTGCCTTTGGAACGTTTATTTTATAATTATTAATACAAAGGTCGAACATTTAGAAAAAAATCATTTGATCAGGCCGGGTTCAAACCGACCTCTCCTAGCATACCCCAGCCAGACCCCAGACGCTATGCCAACTAAGCCACTGAACGAACCAGCGGACCTCACGAATTTTTATATGTGCTTGTTGTCGGATCCTTATATTTGACACAAAACAAACAACAACAAAGAATCATTTAATATTATGGTGGTGAAACATTCTGACATTCAATAAAAAAAACTACGTTTATTTTAGTTTGGTACAGTCAAGAGAACGTAAAGCTTGTCACATGGAGACTGGACCCTTCTCATCCTAAGCGGCTATAAAAATTTTACGTTCGGTAAGGCCGAGATTTATAAGACTAACTTTAATCTCGACTAAGCCAAAATGACGACCTAAGCAAGTTTTCCGTATATACAAAACGAATTTTGCCTGTTTAAGCAAGAACTTACGTTATTTTATGATACCAAGTGACGAGACGAATAAGTCGCGCTCCTGGTGGTAAACGACCACGCCTGTCCATAGCAGTTGCAGTGTCGCCCAGTTTTAAATCGCAAGATCTGAGGGGCACTGCTACTGCGTCCGTCAGTCTGAGACATAAGTTGACGAGTCCCACGTGCCTGCAATTGCACCAACACCCTTACCCTTCAAAACCGGAGCGCAGTAATGCTCACATTACTGTTTGGTGGCAGAAATAGGTACAGTAGCAGTACTTCCCTGGACAAACTCTTTAACAAGAAGCTCTACAGCTACTAATAAACTAAATTATGTAGTAAACTCAAAGTTTAATTGAATGTCTTGCTTAAACGTTGGCTTAAAGTTCGTTTTTTAAATACGAAAAATTTGCTTAGTTCGCCATTACAGTCAATGTTCGTTTATAAATCTCAGCCTATGTACTAAGTATACGGTGTTCATTAAACAAGTTCCTTACTAGAACACCCACTCATAACCCCGCACTAGGGAAACCCTGTATCGCGAGTGTCACGGACACACACATAGGTAGACAACCACAAATTACACCTAAACTCACGAAAGAAATAAAAGTAGGCCATACAAATATTTATTCCGGCCCGAGAATCGAACCCAGGCGTTCGGCCACGCAGGCAGTTAATATCGATATGGATAGAGGAACCTAATCACTAAATGTGATCCTACTTTTGCATATCATGATCTCTACGTTGCGTTGTTTACATACATACATACATACGACATTCCTTAAATATTAAGTACTGAGCTGGGTTTAAGTTTGCACCTATCAACGTGCAGCCATGCAGGTACCTAATCGCACCATATAAAACATTAATAAGCAGGGAAAGTCTGTGCATAGTCCCAGCTGCCTCCGATATAGAAACTCGCAAGGCCGCTAACATTCGTTTACTTTTTCGCACGCTATCGCTTTCCATCCCTCCTTCCATTTATGGAGCAAGCAATTTTCTAAACCGTGCCGTTGCGATTATCTACTCGTGGCATCTTGTAATTTACATGGGGAATAGTTCTATTTACATTAAAAAATTGACAGATGTTTAAGGTCTAGCCTAGGTACCTACAACATTCATTTACTAAATCAATCCTATTCCAATGCTAATAGAAACTACAGAAACAAATATTTCATAGATTATATAAAAATGTTAAGTAGGTTAGGTTGTTAGAACATTACTGAAACGCATATTATGTAAGTAAAAAGTAAGTAAGTAAGAAAATGCCCAAAAGAGATAGAAAAAATGTATATTAAAAAAAATTATGTACTAAATTTAATATAGGTACCTACTTTGGTAGCCTGTAGGACAAATTGAATATCTAAAACTGATGCTCCGGTCGCGTTTGCTTACCTACTAGACTAGAAATCCGATCAGTTTTAATAATCTACAGCCTACGATTCCGTGGTCGTTCTATCAGATTATCATTTCATTTTCTTAATAGTAGATTATTCATTATACGGTCTGTGTTAGCAGGACGTAACTAAATGAACAAGTACTGAACTCATTGGTAGAGTGGGTTAGTTTTTTTATCTAAATTGTTCAGTTGCAGTAGAGCTTCTTGTGAAAGTTCGTCCAGGGACATAATTGAGAGAGAGAGAGTGCGAAAGAAAGAGAGAGAGCCTTACTGCGTTTCAGTTTTGAAGTTTGTTGGATGCTGGTGAAATTACAGGCACATGAAACTTGTCAACTTATGTATCGAGTGACGGGCGTAGTGGCAGTGCCTTTCAGTTCTTTATTTATTCTAAATTTGTGATTTAAAGTTCTGAGTAGCACTACAACTGTTATGGACAGGCGTGTCGCGCACCACACACCAGGCGCACTACTCGTCCGTCCCGTCACTTGGTGTTATAAAAAAAAGTTGGTAATTTCTAAATATGAGAAGGGAAGTAGGTACGTAGGTACTTTTACCCTTCTCAAACACTACCATTTCGGCTTCAATTTAAAAGTAAAGGTATAGTTTAAGAAAATGACTTGTTAATTGTTGTAACTTACGCATTTTTATGACATTGGCAATTCGGTGGAAATAGAAAACGACATGACGAGGCACCTACGGTAGAGACGTTATGTTATAACGACATTTGTTTCGAATGCTTACCTATTATTTTTTCCATTGCAAAAGGCAAAGGCGCTAATGCGCCATACAGCCAAGACTGAGAGAAATCTCTGTCTTGTTTTCCATTACAAGAATTAAATGTCTTCGATAGTGCTTCTTACGAAATAATATAAAATTGGATAACATTCTTGATTTTTCAGGAGATATGGTAAAGAAAGCGGGATGTTTTCAGGGGTTTTGTATAGTTCAAGAAGGTTATTGATGAGGATTATTCTATCAATAGAAAAGTGTGGGCAATCGTAAAAATATATGATTCTATTTATAATTGTCATGAATTGCTTAAATGATTTATAGTAAATTGTTACTAAGGTTGAAATAATAATTATAAGTTTAAATTTGTATTGAATTGATATTCAATTATTTTTGTGAAATTACTCCACTAGTTTGTTATAATACAAAACTTTTTAGCCGTAGCGTCGGATTGAAGGAATTTTTTCTGAGTGTTCTATCTTTGTAATAATAATTATAAGTTTTTTATAAAATAAAGAAACCGACCTCAAAAGTCTGTGGAATTACATCTATTTGCCAGGTTTTCATCAAATCGGTTAACTGAAAGTTGGTGAAATCCAATGAACCGGATTCATCCCCTAATTTGCCATCCTTATAGGTGGAATATTTTCTTCAAATTTAATCAAAAAAAATAGAGTCATTGAAATCGGTTCACAAAATTAAATGTCGGAGTAATTGCATAACATACCTACACACAATAAAACAGTCGAATTGAAGTGAAGTCGGTTAAAAATAGCTGAAAGTAGTTGCGCTGCTGATCAAATATTATTCACATAAACATTGGATTGAAATACAGGTCACGTTCATACGTTGCGAGACTTCTATTGTGTCGTTTTTGATTTGACCTACCTCGATAGAATGCATCACACGTACCTATTACGTTCTTCGTGTGTTTATAATAGGATACTATATTATTTCAAAATAAAAACGTGTCAAAGTTTACAATAGATAACAAAATATTGCGGCACTGACCTTGAGTCGGAAATACCAAACCGGAGAAACATTATTAAAACCGGCTTCACGTTATATACCTACACATTTAGTTAAACACATAATTGTGTATGCATAATGCTAACTATTTTCCTGTAAATTATGTATGTAGAATGACAGACTTTTCCATTTGTAGCGCGCATAACT